TCCTCCCTAGTGGCAACATCGTACACATCTTTGTTCACATCTTCCTTCGAGTCCTCGTTAATCGCCTCCTTAGTGTATGGGGGCTTGATATGTGTCCTCGTAGACCTGTGAAGCCACCGCAGGTACTCGTCGAAGGTGTGCTGGTCGTGTGGAGGACCCGCATGGACCGGCTGCGGTTCCCTATTCTACCACAAGTGGATGTACGCATTGTGTGTCATACGCCAATCCTTGGTCTTGTACCTCTTCCTGCGGTCATGCCTGCAACAAAACGATGTTAGTTGTACCACACACACCTCTGAATTATAGCTTTGTTATTAATCGATAACGCACCCGTGCAATTCTTGGTTGGTGGAGTAAAGCGGTGGTGGGCAGCCTGTCATTCTTCCAAACTGCTCTGCAGGCCCTAATGGGCAAGTGAATCTCGACCACGTGGAAGAAAATAAGAGGGACATTGCAGCGATACTCGTCTAACTCATCCCTAGTGACAGGACTCAGATAGTACTCGAGCTCCGGAGCATCCCAAGGACACCAATGCACCTGAACATTTCGTAATTGAGTTAGGTTGTGATATAGTGTATATAAAACAAGACACATGTATGATAGTAAAGAGAGCATAACCTGGTGCTGTGTCAGGACGTCGAGACCGTCAGTGTACTCCCTATACTTGCGCCTCACATTTCCTCTAACTATCTCTGCTTCTGTACAGATATACAGAGCTGTAGGGAGTGTATCCTGCCCGTTCTATTGCTGCATTGAACACGATAATGAATTAGCCATTAATAATTTCATCATATGTAACTGCCTCGAAGAATATAGTGAACCGAAGTACTTATCGGTAAACCAGTATTAAGGGGCCTCCCAACGGGCCATCGTTCCCAACACCAAACCTAGAGTAGGTAGGAGCAACCCCCAAGGTTTGCATACCCTGAGGTGCGACGGCAGGCAACGCATAGTTGTCTATACGTCCATGCCAGGACTGTGTTGCCCCAGCTGTACGCCGCTATGTTCTCCCACGGCTGGGGTAGTGTGTCAAGGAAGATTCAGCTGATGGTGTTGTCCGAGGCATCTGGGAAGAGGAAAGCACCAAGGAAGTGTCAGAGCCACACTCTAGCGAACCTATCGATCTGAGTCTCCTCGGCCTGTGGGTCCAAGTAATCAAAGCACTCTATGATCCAGGACGACGAAACACCAGAACTTTTTTCTGAAATTCGCCAAAGAAAATGAGACCCGATGGCTGCAGGAAAGCAATGCAAGTATTAAATAGGCTTGAATTGCTCACTTATTTTTCTTTGAAACCTCGTCGTCCGGTGAAAGCCAGTGAACTGAGCCACCAGCTCCCTCCAGTTATCGTTGTCAACTATACCCGTCACTGGAAGTCCTCCCAACCGAAGGCCAAAGATAGCCTTCACGTCCTGCATGGTCAAGGTCATCTCGCCGTAAGGTAGGTGGAACGTGTGGGTCTCAGGCCTCCACCTATTATAAGAATAGAACGACTGTTAGTTGACTCAAATTTGTTATAAGAATGTTTACGTACAAAGAAGGCACTCGCACCTGTCTACAACTGCACTAAGTAGTGCTGGGTCAAGGGGCGGAAGACCGTAGTTGATAATACGGACAAGCTCGAGGAAGCCGGCACACCGTATATACGGCGCGTAATGCTCGTCCCACTAGCGTGCCCTGGTGTGCGTGCGGGGCCTTAAAGGAGGCAAGGCCACCTCTTACTCAAGATGTGTGCTCAGTGCTGGTCGTCGTACTCCACCTCAAAAATAGGATACAACGGGTGTTGCGTGGGAGGGGCCATCCTGTTACAAATTGATAAACAAAGGGTTAGAGTATTCAAATTAATAATATCAAATTAACATTATGTAGCATTGCAAAATTTGAACTACTTGTTATGCAATACGAACACAATATGAAAGCACATGTATATATTCAAAGTAACTTAACAAACATATTAAACAACTTCACTAGAAAAATAAGCATTTGACGAAACTTCATCAAGTCATCCAAATCGATGTATAACGCACTACTAAGTACCGACACTTGAAAACTAGTATCTATACCTAAAATCCCTAACTAAATAACTAATAACTATAAACTAAATAATAAATACCTAATCAATCCCTAAACCCAAAATCCTAACTAACATTAACCTAAACCCTAACTACCTAACCAAACCTTAACTATACTACAATACACAACCTCAAACCTAAAAACTACCTACCTAAACAAATAAATTCACTAACCTAACTATCTAAATCACTAACTATCATAAAACCCTAACTATCCTAAATCACTAACTATCATAAATCACTAACATAACTATCCTAAATCACTAACTATACTAAATCACTAACTGTCCTAGATCAATAACAATCATAAAACCCTAACTATCCTAAATCACTAACTATCCTAAATCAATAACAATCATAATAACATGAAATCGAGAGAGAGGTACCTTGATATGAGCGGGCGGCCATGACGCCGCTTGGCGTTTTAGGCGCTGGCAATGGGCTTGGTGGGTGCGCGTGACGGAGGGGCGTGGCGCTGGCGCGCGGGCGGCATTTTATTGCATGCGGCAAGGCCGCGGTATGGCGGTGGGCGGGGCGGGGCTCTCGCGATATTTATCTGGTCCTGCCGCGCCATGCTCTATGGCGCAGCAGGCCCTGCCACGTCACCGGTCAGCATTTGTGGTCGTCGCCACGTCAGCCACCCGCCGCGTCACCATGCATGGCGCGGCACAGGCTTTTCGCCGCACCATGGCAATAGGCGCGGCAAAAAATGTTAGTTTTGAAAAAAAACAATGTTAGATTTAAAATTAGTTTATAAAAAAATGTTAAAAATAAAAAAATGCATGCATGCATGCGAGATCGACCGTGGCCTGCTGCCCCCACAAATTGCTGTTCTTGGCTTCTGACAAAACAATGGCTAGTGACGAGCAGGACCAGCGCGCGGCAGCTGAAACATGTAGTATCACTATCACATCCTGGTACAGTTAAAATTTTGCGTACATATAACACGCGCGCCCTGAATAATGACCATAGAGTAATTGTGTCCCCCCGCCCCTTCATCAGTTATTAGCTGGGGTAGTTGTTTCACAGTTGCTGCGCATAATAATTGAATTATTTAAACAGAAGGCAAAATTGTAATGGACTACATTGAAAGTCGGATAAGGGCCTATTGGAGAACAGCGCTAACCAACCATGGGCACAAAATGAATGAGAGCGTGTTCTGTTCTTTACCTTTTTTCTTTTTTTGATGAGTTTGTGTTCTGTTCTGTTTTGTATAGCCTGTGCTGTATGGACCTCCTGGGGGCCCATGCACTGACATGAGGCCCAGCCCACGTAGAAGGCTACGCCAACACACCATGCAACCAGCAACCACACTTTTGCCGCATCGGCACCGGCATCCCATAGTCCCATGCTACTCTGGCCGAGCGCTCCCCGATTCCATCGCCAGTTCATCACCATTTTCGGCGTTTGCTCGGACATTCATGTATCCACCTTAATCCGTGTATATTAGGGTGGTTTGGTGTAGAATTTAAACTAAATTTCATCTCAACACACATAGAGATGGATACATGGGTATTTAATCAAGGTGGTGCTTGTATTGTGGGATGGGATATAAGGGTGGATGAAAATATTATCTGACGTTTGATCTGCGACGGCCTCTGGTTTTTATTTTATTTTATAGAACACCATGGGCCCTAGTAAACCCAAACCCAATTGCTGCCAAACAATAGATTAGTCCTAGAAATCTATTTCTCAATCCGTAACCTATTTCTCCCTATATATCTGATCTTATTCCCATACTCAAGCCCACTCGCGATCCAAACGCCACCTTAGAACATAATACTTGTGTGTTTGGAGCCATGCACAAATTGCATGGTAGGCCTGTACTTGGCACATTCCTTTATGTAAGTGTTAACCATTAGGGGCATTCATATATTTTAGTGATGTTGTAGAAGATTCGATCAAATATAGGGGCAGCTTGGCTTGATAGAGTGGATGTGAATAGAGAAAGAGACAACAGTGGCCAAACAAGAGAGATAGGGTGATGTTGAGCGCGTGGGAGAAAAGGGCCAATGGCGGGCCTGCAGGAGAGAACGGCCAACGACAATTAGGGCTTGTGTGGAGAGGGACGTCAGCGTCGACGACGGTCCTAAAGGAGAGGCATGGGAGCTAATATGTGGTTGAGAGGATAGGATGTGACAATTGAATAGTTGTAATAACTTCTAACATATAGCTACTAAAATTAGTTTATGGAATCAAGGATCCCTATTGTTTGTGTAGTATCACTATCATGCTATAACTTTGCTTATAACAATCCACCAAATAGTAATGGCAGCACAGAAATTCCTATTTCACCATGCGGTTAGCTGTTGTAACTGTTTCCCAGTACTAACAACAGAGAGTAATAAATTATGCAGATAACAAAACTGGTAATAACGGAGTAAATTAAAAGTGGGCTAAGGGCCTCTTGGAGAACAGAGCTAAGCCCATAGGCACAAAGCATGCATGCGAGCGTGGTTCTCTTCTCGTTTTAGTTCTAAAAAAAAAGTTGGCTGAGGTGAACTGGACTCCTAGGGCCCATGCAGCCGACTTGACGATCTCCCCGTCGGCGCCGGCGTCCTCCACTCCTGCGTGGCTGCGTCTTGGCGCCAGAGGCGGAGGCGCAGAGCAGCTCTGGTTCTGCCGTTCTTGGGCTCAGTTTTTATGGTTTAGCAGCCCTCTCTTTTCTCTCTAAAGAAAAAAAACAATCTTTCCTTCATACTGCAATAGTTAAATCTGGATGTTTCTGAATCCAGTAAGTCTGGTCAGTTAATAATTTCACCGTGACCAGGGACCAAATTAGCTTCGCTTCAAGACCATGGATCTGGTCAGTTAATATTTTCACCGCGACCATGGACCAAATTAGCTTCGCTTCGCGACCATGGATCTGTGCTTGGACCTCGACCTCGATTTCTTCTAGCTTTTCATCACCTGCTGACTGGATCATGACTAGTCCCGCTGCTTGGACCTGACCAACTTGCGCAGGAACTCCTTCACCTGCAGCGCCAAACAACAAACAGTAGACGGGATCAGCCCACGTCGGTGACAGTTCAGTTACATGTCATGAAAAGCACAACTACAACGTAGAAAAGAGGGGGTCCAAGTCGAGCTTTTCTCGAAAGCAACAGGGAGCACTTGGGCCTTTGGGGCCATGCGTACATGGCCTGTGCCTAACTCCTTTTTTTTCTTTTTTTCTTTTTTGCTACAACTGCAGCACCAACCGTGACTTTTCGATGCAGGATTTCTGCTGGTCTTCTCTCACATTTTTCAGAGCACAACAGTACTGAGCTGAAATAGCTACTCTGTGCACTGTTACTAGTAGCAGTGGGTAGTGTTGTGTTTGCTACCTCAGAAGGTTCACGCAAGGAGTAGGATGCGCTGGTCTCCTTTGGAATCTTGCTCACAAGGATTCCGATCCCTTGCCCCATGCTGCTCAGCACCTGTTCAGTTCGACGACAATGACAAAAGCGTCACTATTTTTGCCTTCCCCAATAGCCTCAGAACGAAGCCACATATGAAAATGTTTAAGCTTAGATTGTTGTTGAGAGACATCTCATAATATCATGGTTAATTTTACATTACAAGATTCAAATAAAACACTTTGGAATAGGAACTATTGGTGGAGGACACCTTCGTCTAAATATATGAATTGTTTGCCAGAGTTATACGTCTGAGACCAATATCATCAATCAACATACGAAACGGCACTTAGTATATGTTACTGGGGAATTTTACCTTGAACGCGTCCTCGTCGGTGCGATCGTCTCCGATGTATATCGGGAAGACATTTTTACTGTCAGCGAAACCTTCAGAAAACCATGGCAGGCAACTTATTAGCACCTCATCAGCAGTGAGCAATTTCATGGCTCCAGAATCCAAATCCGAAGGCACAATCGATTTGATGAAAGAGGAAAGACATGCACTCACCGAGAGACTCAAGCAAGAATTGTAGGGCGTTGCCCTTGTCCCACTTGATGGACGGCCGGATCTCCAAGACCTTCCTGCCCTTGGTGAGCCGGAGGTCCGGGTACTCCTTGAGCACCGACCGGACCTGCTCCTCCAGAGCGCGCCATTTCTGCCCAGTTACATATGTGATATGTCAGTTATGCAAGTGAAAGATGGCTGGTGATTGTCCATGGAAACCGTCCGTGCTCACAGATCCTCACCTCCTCCTGGACGCAGCGGAAGTGGACGGAGAGGCAGAACTTGTTATTCTCCACCGTCGCGCCAGGGATCGGCGCCGTCCTCGCCGTCAGCGTGCGGTACACCTGCAGGAAATTGCAGGGAGAACACAAGCATGTCATGCTGCCGAACTGACGCCTGTTGCTTGTAGAACGACACTGATGACGGTGCGATGCGGTGAAGCAGGAAAACGTGTGAGGAGAAACTCCACCACAGTTTCCACGAAAGAAATTCAGCAGCTCCACAATTCAGTAGTAAATTACCTCGTCAATGACCGGCAGGAACGCGCTCGCTGGTTGGCACAGAACAGCTTCGGCCTGCATTTCCAAGTCAACAAAAATAAATAAGTTTATGGAACACAAAGAAGCCATTTTTTCTGTCAGAAACGACTGTCGTTTTCCTGTGAGGTGTTGGTACAGTATCTCGAGTGTGTGCAGGGTGAAGAGACAAGGATGTGTAGTGGCTGGCCTAGTGGCGGTAGCTGCCTGACCTTTGCCTTGGTGTGCTTGGACCGTGCCGTGGGCCCCTTGATGTCCATGCCGTGGCTCCCGGCGTAGTACAGCTCGGCCAACTTCACGAAGTTGAACACCTAGATATCGCACCAGAACACAACAGACCCGTGAGCACAGCACTGAATGTCTGAATGAATAACTGAAAGCCACAACGGAAAAGCATAACGGGCTTGCAGTCGGGCACTGCACGGAAGAAAGGTTTCTGCTCCTGCTCGGCACATCTGCCAGCCTGTACCGCCTATGCAAGTGAGAGCACTAACTAGGTTCACAGTAGCAGGAGGATGGAACGCATGTGGACGGCAAGATCAAAATCACAATTCACAAAGTTTGGAGGCCCCAGCAGAGACCGAGGTAAAACTGCAAAAGGCGATCGATTGGGCAAATTGGAATGTACCTTGTCTCTACACCTCCCGCTCACGATGGCCGTCGGGAAGTGCTCGGCCACGCCTCTCACCGCGTCTCGCATCTGCGGCGTGCCACAGAAATAAGCAAAAAGCGTCAGGTAACTAGCTAGGCCCGTGCGTGCGTTCGCCGGAGCAGAGCAAGCCCTGCTGCTCCGGCGCCAGTCCGCCTTCACGCAATGAAAACTAACAGAAAATTACTAACTAGCAGAAACAGAAAATGATATTGCCTGCCCTGACCTCCTCAGACATGACGGCGCTGTCGGGGTCCTTGACGATCGGCGACAGGGTGCCGTCGTAGTCGAGGAACATCACGATCTGCTTCCCCTTGGCGGCGGCCAGCACCGACTCGAACTCGGCCAATGCCGACGGGTGCTTCTCCTGCGTACGCGAGTCAGGTCAGGTCAGGTCAGGTCGGGCGGCGACGAGCGAACAGAACGTAGGCACAGCAAGCGAGGCATATGATCGAATGTCAGACGTACCATCCAGTCGTCAAAGTCCGCGTGGCGCGGCACGAGTTCCGGCCAGGACCCCGCGGCAACGCCCGCGGCGCCGGGGTCCGTGGCCTGACGCGCCGCCGCCGCCGCGGCCACCCTGCATCCGCCGCGCGCCATCGGCGGCGGGTACGACATGAACCGCCGGCCGGGCTGCGCCGCCGCCGGCGCGGACGTGAAGGCGGCGGCGATCGCGTCGTCCGCGGCGAAGGCGGTGTGCTTCGTCATTGCGCGCGCAAGGTCGAGAAGAGAGACCACCGAGCAATCAGCACGTGGACAAGGAAAGAAGCAGCGAGAGGCACGCTGGAGGCGGATCGGAGAAGGAAAGGAGGCGACGGCACGGATGGATGGATGGATGGATCGGAGAAACAGAAGACGCGGGGGGCTTGGTTGGCTGGCTAGCTTGGGGTTTCCGGCGGAGCGGAGAGGGGCTATAAATAGATCATGCGTCGTGGCCGGCGGGGTGTTTTGGGGGGCGCTCGTGCATCGTGCTCGAAAGGGACACCGGTTTTGTAACAGTGGCAGCGGTGTCTTTGCATTGGTCGACAAACTAGCCAAAATCACCGCGCAATTAGGTCGGCCGCACGTAATAATAGCCAGACAAATATATATGCTTGCTTTGTTATATGCAGCATTAATTCCTATGGGAGGGATCAGGGTGTCATAGTATCGACTGTATTTGCTATGTAACTTCATCAGGGCTCGTGAGTGCGATCGTATTTGATTTGATAGATACGTAGGTGTACTAAATTATAGCAAAATATTGTGACGTTGAAAGCGATGTACTAGTGCGAGATATTTTTTTCTATGTGATTGTAACTGCCTCCGTCTATATAAGATTGTTGCTGGATCCTTTCTTTTCTGTGAGATTAATTCAATAATACTATATTTTCTCTTTTTTTAGTATATATGGACAAAGACTGTGATTATTGCGTAGTCGTACACGTACTTGTACTAAATAATACTAGCAAGGTTGCGACGTTGAAAGCGATGTACAGTGCGAGATTTTTTCTATGAATGTAACTACCTCCGTCTACGTAATGATTCTCTCTCTCTCTTTCAGTTTTTATTATTAGAGATAAAAAGTGTAATTATGTAGCCTTCAACACCGCTGGTTTTATTTCTGTATACATGTAAATTTACTGATGTGATATAGGGACCTGATGATGATTCAAATTGCTTATTTTTTTATAAAAAAAAATTCAGGATGTGTCTTAAACTTAACTTTTTAAGGATTTCTACACCAAACTATTCCTGAAATCGATTGTCTAGTACTTCTTCCTTTCTAAATTATAAACCGTTTTAGTTGTTTAGGTACATCGTTTTTCATATGAACTTAGATACGGGCTATGTCTAAATATAGAGTAAAAACTATGTATCTAGAAAAGCTAAAACAACTTAAAATTTGGAAATAGAGTAGTACGTGATATGCAAGTCTGCTATTTTTCCGTGTGTGTTTTCATGCCTGATTTCCACGGTAGCTTTGATCTGTAATGACCTTCCCATCCCCTGCCGGGTCTCCTCTATTTCTACAACTACCGCCCGCTGGAAGTATATGGATCTATGGGCTCGGGCATGCTGAATCTTGCTAGGCGGCTAGCTGCACGCCATTATCAGTTGTCAGGAACGTGCATGGCAAATATATTGCTCGACAAATATCGATCACTTTACAGCCATGGCTACTGAGAGTTCAGCGTGGGGGCAAATAGTACATTATGTGTACATCTAGTTACGTCATTCGAATAAAATTAAAATTCAGCATACACAGTTAAGTGTTTCCCGTCAGCAGGTATAGAAGGACAGAATACATATACATTGCAGATGCTGTAACTTGCTAAACTTAGAAAATAAGTTGACAGAATGCCCACTTGTAAACAAGGTTCAGAATAATGTATTAGTGTGGGCTAATGTCAAACACACACGTTTATTCTAGCGTTATGCCCGAGGTTTCATATACATAGTACTAGCAGTGTATAGTACACACATCGCGTCTCGTTTTCTTTCAGACGAAGTCTACGGCCTCGAATCCTAGCTGTAACGGTACACAACATGTATATGCATATATACATCGAAGCTTCTCGATCACGCATGCATCGATGACGTACGCCTCGTGTATTGTAATAGTGACTGCAATTGCAAAGAATCTCTGTCAGTTTCAGCTTGCATTGGGACCATAGCTAGCTACTAGCTCTATGCTCCCATTTGCACTAGTTTGAGGCTTTGAGCGTGGCCAAATAAATGCACGCATGTCCAGAGATTGCGCCAAAACTTTTGACTCTGGAGATCCAGATTATTCCTCCATAGGGCATGCGGCAGCATGGCTTGCTCAAAATTAATCCATGTGCATGCATGTGATCAGTGCAAGTTGAGGCAAGTGTGTATTGCGCGTTACTTGTATATATACCGGTATAGTGTTCGAGTTTAGGAAGCCCAATGTATACATCTCAGTTTTCTTTTTTCACCTTGACGACCTCAGCTCGGAAGTCAAAGTCTGCTGACTCTGACAGTCTGAATTTCTTGACTCGGGTCGTGCCGGCCGGGGTCTCCACGCGCTCAAATAAATTGGCGCCACCGTTGTGTACTCGTTCTATTCCAAATTATAATTTGTTTAATTTTTTTACCCTAAGTTTAACCGCTCGTCTTATTCAAAAAAATTTACATAAGCATAGTCAAATTTAAGTCATTTTGAAGAACTTTTATTAATAAAGCAAGCCACAACAAAAGAAATAATATTTAGTATACATTTTTAAATAAGATAAGTGGTGAAATTTGATTTGAAAAAAGTCAAATGAACTTTACTACTACCCCAGTTTTTCGGGCTTTGTCACCTTTTTGTCTCTTGTGATTTTAACTCGATATTTCCCTGACACAATATCTGCTAGGCGCTAGCTGGGGGGTTTCTTACCTGCCGTTTTTTACACGACGAGACGAGACCTTGAGAAAAAACAAAGCGTGGGCCCTCAGTGACTTGGACCGCACGAAGCTGGTAGCTAGCAATGCAGGTTCAAAGATTGTTGGATCTCGAGCAATGCAACACTCTAGTCTAGGGCCTTGTTAGATTTAAGTTTTTTCACTCTCTCTTCATCACATCAAATCTTTGGACACATGTATGAAGTATTAAATATAGATAAAAAAATAATTAATTACACAGTTTAATTGTAAATTACGAGACGAATCTTTTGAGCCTAGTTAGACCATGATTGGACAATAATTGTCAAATACAAACGAAAATGCTACAGTGTCAAATACTGATTCCTAACCGCAAACTAAACAAGGCGCCTAGGCTTTTGTCTGACGATGATACTCTGAACCCTGGTATAAGAACTGCGCATCTCATACTGCACGCGCGTATATATATTCCATATATCAGTACATACTATCTCTGTCACTGTCAAAGAATACAATCCTAAATCTGCCAGAGTCAAGCTATAGAAGTTAATACCAAGATATATGATATATGACTCCAAATAGAAATTAACATTAAGTTTATAGAAATTAATATCAATATATATGACTCTAAATAGATATTCTCTAAGAAATATTTTATGAATATAATAATATTTATTTAGTACAATAAATATTAGTATCGTTTTATATAAATCTCGTCACTTCAATCGTTTGACTTATAATAAATATTCTAAATTTGCATCGTATCACTACCGGAAACGTCAAATTTGTCGAGTGTTTTCCCTCGGGCACTTGACGAACAAGTTCATTGCTGAGTGCTACGCTAAAAACCCTCGGCAAAAAAAAAACACTCGGCAAATAGGAGGTTCGCCGAGTGTAAAAATAACACTCGGCAAAGAGGGGTTTGTCGGGTTTTTTTTTCACTCGGCAAAGGACAAAAATCATTTTTCTAGAAAAGAAAGAGACGAAAAAAATAAAAAAAAACTTTACCGAGTGCCTAGATCTAGGACACTCGGCAAAGGACAAAAATCATTTTTCTGGAAAAGAAAGAGAAGAAGAAAAAATAAAAAAAACTTTACTGAGTGCCCAGATCTAGGACACTCGACAAAGGATAAAAATCATAGTTAATTCCCTGCGGCGCGCCCCTCCCCTCCCCCCATTCTTCTTCCCGCGGGCCCTCCCCATTCTTCTTCCCATGGGCGCCCCTCCCCTTCTCCGGCGCGCCCCCTCCCCTCCTCCCTCTCCTGCCTCCTCCTCATATCCGCCCGCCGATAAGTCTGTTTGCTGATAAAAATTCACCAAGTGTCGTTTGTCCTTTGCCCGAGTGTTTTTAAGCTTTGCCAAGTGCCACTGGCAAAGCTCCTGGTCCGGTAGTGTATGCTGTGACGGAAGGGGTACCTTTGAAGTCCAGCAGGGCCGTGCTATTCGAGACGTATGAACCACCCCAGCTGTCAAGCATGCCCACAGTCTTTCTTGTCTAGCAAGAAGGAGCAGCATCTGTTGGCGTTTTTGAGCTTGGAACTGCACGGAAGCCGAGAGCGTGGCGCGGCTGCCTACACAGTTGCAGGCTTGCAGCTGGCGCATGCAACATGCATGCATGTATACTAGACGCTAGCTTTTGCTGTTGCCGCACGAGATTCTGGCGGCCAGAGATCACCATCAGCTGAGTGCTAGGCAGCGCATGCTTTGTACTACGGCGTGTGGCATGCAGGGTAAAGGAGTGTTTGGATCGGGGGCTAGTCCATGTCATATCGAATGTTTGTACGTTAATTAGGAGGATTGCAAGTGGCTGCGTTGCAGGGATTGCTTGTTGCGACGAAGGAACGTGCATGCATGGAAAAGCAGGACGTTAGACATAGACAGTGCGGCAGTGCCACGGTTTCGTGGTTTTGAAGTGCTCAGGCCGGCGCGGTCGCAAACGCTACAACTTGTGGATGGTAACATGAGAGCAACTCTTAAAATCGGGCCTCTACTTTTGATGTGACGATTTCTCCTAGTTTTTGGTATCCTGTTTTATGAGACATCCCAAATTAAAGTCTATGCTTTCTGTTTTTTTCTCTTTGGTTAAAGAAGTTTATCCAACTCTGTGTTCAAACAGGATAATTCAAATTCAAAACAATGGATGTGTGCTAAAAAATAATTATAATTAACAATTGCTTATCAACCCTGCTTAGGAAAGAGGACAGATGGGGCGGCGAGAGCGCACACTGGCCTGCTTGGTCATCAACAAGAGCAGTAAGGGCCAAAGGCGGCACATGCTTGCAAGCCTAACTCCATGCTCATGGAGGACAAGGGGTGGCGGTGGCACACATGCCTGCCTA